AGCGGTGTCGCATTGAATCGCGTTCCGAGCAAAGGGCGATCGCGCCTTTTTATACATATAAATAATAATAAAATAAATAAATAAATAACAATAATAATATATAGATTCGCGGGCCACGGTCCCATAGACATCAGACGATCATCGTGCATTCTTATTCCGTTCTGATTCTGGCTCGGACTTCTGCTTCCGAATCAATTCAACAACCCGGCCGAAGAGAGCTGCGGAGCTTCCCGTCAGGGACGCGACATTGTAAGCTTGATTTCGAGCATGAAGCTCCTCGCCTCGCGGATACGAACTCTTCGAAGAGGAACAGCTCGCGCGCTAGCTAGTGACACGAACATCACTGCTATTATCATCATTGAGCACTCCCATCTTCCGTATTTTCCGTGACCTAACTACTAGTTGAAAAAAAATACTCTAACCGTGTGCTACCGCGCGAGACCTCGCGTGTTCCCGTTTGCGTGTGGACGCGCCTGCGTGGGAGGAAAATTTGCGTGACCACGGAGGCGATCAAGTCCAGTTTTCAGCGCAACTCAAGCCGAAAAATCGTTCCCTTTTCCGTGTGATTCCTCGCGGCTCGACACGACATCTGGATCCTCGGCAGGATTTCGTCCTCGTGAGGAAATCTCTCTCGGGACTCACGGCAGACTTTTCAATCATAGGCTCGCACCGGACAGAAAACGGAAACCGGAGCAGCGACTGACATGAGCGGGGGTTTCGCTCGGGGAAGTTATCACCGGAAGTCTCTGGATGAGATTCTCCCGCGAGAATCAGGGACAATCAATTGAGGGGCAAAGCGTGGAGAAGAATCGGATTGAGCGGGTGTATCACGCGGTGGGAGGCCGAGGCAAACCGACATTTTTCCGTAGGCGTTCATTGTTCCCTTCGGACCCGACTGCCCCCTCCGGTGAAGCTTATTCTCGGACCGAGCTTCTGATTACTCGGATGTTCCGTCCTGCACCGGGCTTCGAAGAGCGAAAAACAATGAGGATGATGTAAGGAAACTTTTTTTCCGCGGAGCCATCCGTAAAAACTCGGGCGCGGCTCACGTCGGATACATGTTAGCATCGCCGGCTTTGCGATCGGCCGTCCACGAGACGAGCGTTGCGTCACAAGCAGCGGATCAGAGCCTCTGCTCGTCCGAACGAAGTTTTGCAAAAAGTAACGCACGTCTGGCAGTTTTCGTTCCCGCATGACTCAGCCGGTGTATTTCCCGGTTAGAGCGAATTGTACAGTCGGTAGTCCTCCGGTAAGACCCCAAGGAGACGTCATCATGCGCAACATCGGGACGAAACGGAGCTCGTCTGGACGAACTTGCCTGTGATGATTCCCTATTCGATCGAAAGATTCGACGTATTCGGCGGGGGATCCTCCGAAAACGCCACAAGTGTATCTTATGCCTAAGCATTGTCGGACCGCGGAGCGGGGCACCGATCCGGATCCCGGATCCCCGACTTCCTTCTTTTGTCCGCCTGTCTTGTGAGAAAAAGGATATCGCATCGAGAGATAGAATCACGCCGAAAAGTCGGCACCTTTTACGGAATTTGTGCTATGTCGGAACAGGAGCCGTACCCCGATGCAGCTTCCATGGTGTCGAGTGTCGATGTTGGAGCCATGTTCGACTTGCTCTGCATCTCTAGGAGAGAATGCGCCTCTCCTCACAGAATGGCAGCGCCTCAGAACTTCTCAAGCGATGGCCCGTCGATACCACTTCCGGAAATCCTGCCTTCGGAAGTTTCGTATTGGTCCGAACCCGTGTGAAACTTCGGCCGGCATCGCTTCTGCTTTCGACAAAAGGTCGAGAAGCGTTGAGGCATGAGTCACAGCAATAACAACAACGCCAGCGATCAAGAGAACAGTGGCAGCGTGTTTTTTTTAAGAGCGTGACACGTCACGTTTCTTTAAGCGATGCCACAGCGATCTCTGAATGCGATCGCCGACGTCCCTTTCTCGTTAGCGCCACCGCCGATGGCAATATTTTCCAACCGATTTGGGGATTCTCGAGAGCACAATTGGAAGACGACGAATACATTTGCATGGTCCGCTATTCTTCGCAAAGGACTTCAGCTTTGGATGCTTTCTGTGGCGTTCGTTTTCGGGTCAGCGGAGCCGAGTGGAGCCGATGCTTCGAAACGATTTGAATGCTATCATCGAGACCTCGCAAACGATGACTTGAGCGTTCGTTCGCCGCGGGAAGAATCATGGAAAACATAAGGACAGGAGCTCTTCCCCGGATATTTTCCTCATCGAGTTACAGATGTCAACGACAAGTGTCTGGTTGAAGACATTCCGTTTTCGCCACAGGGACCCTGTCTCTCTCATCGATTTGCGCGTGGGGGAACTCGTTGCCGGAATCCCTCGCGACCTCGGAAAAGCTCGCGACCCGTCCACGTGAACACGTAATCAGGTGTGCCTAGCGAATATCGGGTCTCGGAAATCAGCTCGGAAAAGCCGAGGGAGCCAGGCACAATGGGACGATTGACGATATGGGATCAATTCTACTATTCGGAACGATGGAATCAATGTCTCGTTGAGCTGACGATCGTTGTCCAGCGACGATAACTCGTTGACGACCACTTTTTTGATCGGCAGAGCGGCTGGTGCTTCTCGAAGCGACGCTGGAATCGATGAGACTTCCGAATTCGCCCAGGTGTATTTATACACAAGCACCGACATTCGGAGAGCTCGAGCACATCTTCCGAAGACATCCCATGGTCTCTCATGGTCGCAAAAGCATCGCATGATCGTAGTAGGGGTTTCGCCCCGGAACCTGGGACTCGAACACCTCTCGCGCTGCCTTCCTTAACCGATCGGATGGGTTCCTTACGTTTCTGGCGTAGGAAATTGGGGACGAAAATGTTCAAGGCACGTTTAACTCGGACAACGTTCGGCTCACGGTGCCGCAGGCCCAACAACTGAGCAACTCAACGGTAAATCAGATCGCCACGTGGAAAACCAGAGAGGAATCGGGTGGAGTAGATTCCGCGCGAATGCTCGAAGCACGTCCCGGGCGACGGTCCGAGAAAAAAATTGTGCCAATCTCGATGGGAGTTATAGTGATTCCGCAAAGATCTTAATTTTCGCGGGAGAGACCAGCAATGGCTGCCAGACAATTGAAACGCTCTCTTCTAGAGTTCAGCACTCTACGGATAACGGCGGCGACAGCAATGATTCGCTCGAGAGATTCCGACCGAAAGCGGCCCCACCACGGGGCCTCCTCCATCAACAACAGCATTGGGAGAACATTTTAAACTCTGTCGTCGGCGGCGGAATCATCGTCAACAACAACAACAGCTGCTGCTGCCGCTTCGGCAACAACAACAGCTCTCCGCATGAAACCGACTCTCGAGCGACCCGACTAGGTCCAGAGAGACTCTTAATAATCTCATCTTTCGAAATAACTTGGGGAAAACTTCCGCTGACCCTTGAAGCGCGCCAGGAGAAAAGAAATGAGTCACGTCGACCTCGACGTTTTCCAGGATTAGGATTCCAAGGGAAGCGAGTTGCACCGGCGCTCCTGCCGCTGACGATGTGTCGTTCACAGCGGAGCGTTTCTCAGGATACAATCGACAAAAGTTCAAAAACCACGTCCCGAAAACGTCAATGCGTGGCGGACGGATGTGACAAGAAGAAGTGTCACACGAGAAGGAGGAAACAGCCACAACAACAAACGCCTCCCCGTGGCGGAAATCTCGAAAATCCGATTCAAAAAATTCCTTCTGACGAATCGTCCGAACTGTCCTAGATAAGTCAGCTCGCCACTTGAGAAGTCGAGGGTCGAAGGAATACATCGTTATGTCAGCAGACGAGGAGGGTGGATATGAAACGGAAAACAATAGGATCAATACTCGGAGCTCTCTAAGGTAGAGAGGTCCTTGAAGTTCTCATGTCGGCTTTCTGAGTAGTCCACGGTCGGTCATCCGACGTTGAACGAAACCTCAGTTTACCGTGCTCAACCAGAGAGCTCGGAGAGCCTCGAAGTCTCTGTCTCATTATCCTCGTGTTCGGACCCACGTCTGCTGATCTTCTTATCCATTATATGCGGTTCGAGCTCCCTGCTTCAATTCCGTCCGTGTCCACGAGATGAGGACTCGTCGATAGAAGAAATATGCCAGACGAGTTCCAAGAATCGAATATTCAATCAGTTATTCAATTAAGTTATCAATCGATCGATGAATCAATCGGAGTTTGCCTCGACATCCGCACCAAGTCCGAAGATCTCCCAGATGAGAGGGGAACACCTCCGCGCCGATCATACCGCAGCAAAGCGATTTATCTCTCGCTTGATGGACTCGTACCACGTATAGCACTCATGATTCATCCGAAAGGTTTTGAGGAAAATTTCTTCAGGACGGAACCGTAGCGCTTCAACAATGCTCCGGTGAAGCACGCTCCGCTTCCGACTCCCGACCTAGCCAACAGAACGAACGAAGATGTATACCGGGTACGAATCGAGAAAATTATTTCGTCTGCTGTCTTGCCGGCAGTGGTGACCACGACCGTCACCGTGAGTTTCGTTTTTCTCTCGCAAAACAGCGTCTCGATGAAAACAAGCTCGGCCGCCGTCGACGCGGTCTTGCATGATTTCGTATCCCTCGTAGCTCGCGAGATGTCACCAAAGCCCGCGGAGTTTCCCCGCAATTATTTGCTCGGGAGATGTATTGGGAAATCGACTCTTCCTATACCTCGGGGGTGAACAGACTCGGAGCATCTTACGATAAGAAACGGATCATAGACATACTCGGAGGGAGTGAAAAACATTAAAAATGTGAGCAAGAGCATGACGGGACGGCATGACGATGCCTGAGTGCGCAACGATTGGATCGGACTCCTGTCATGAGTCAGCTATCAGCTGATGTTCAGGGAGAACTAGTTCTGTGGTTGTTTCCCTCACCGAGTAAGCATACGGGACGGGGATTCTATCGCGTAGAATGACACGTTTTGAGAGATGAACGTCGAACTACTACTAGACAGAATAACGGAAGGAGCAGGGCACTTACTTTTCCATACGTATCGCGTATGGGCCATTGTATCCACACGATGTCACAACACTGCTGAGGGTACTCGCCCCCCGATGAACACGTCGAGCCCAGCCCGACATGCTGATTATGGTCTCGGCCGTCGTGGGTCCAAATTTGACTGATGACGATCCCAACGACGTTGGAAGAACCGATATGGTTTGTTTGCTGATCGACCGAGGTGCTCAATTCTGTCGTCGTCGTCGTTGTTGTCGATTGGGATTTGAACGCTTGTTCTCGCCGCGCTCGATTCCAGTCGATCGGAAGTCAAATCACATACAGGAACAGTGGCGATAGGGCGCCGGTAGCTTCACCGCTCTCCTCCAGACCGGAGTTTTTCCGACATGTGCGGAGACTTCGGAATAAGAAGAAGAAGAGGAGGATATGTGTATCCGGTAGACGAGACATACGACGGATTCCAGAGCGCTCTGGCAGACGATTCTAATGAGGTTGGTTCCGGATTCGATTTCCAATCTCTTCGCGGAATTGACGACTTCACTTGTCTTCGGGCTGCGTGACTGAGAACTATGAGCGAGCGAGCGAATGATCGATGAGTGAGAGATTGACTGACTGACAGACTGATTGACCGACTGGCTGGCTGGCGGAAATGAGGAGGACGGATCGGCTAAAATTTTCGATCGACTACAGCGGCTGTTCGGGTGGCTCCTACATTTTGGAATGGTCTGCTATCTTCCGCCAGTAGTCTTCAAGTTGACGTTGCGGTGGTGGATGCCACCGGACGAGTGGGACTGCTCTACCGTTCGCCGTTGTTGTCTACTCCGTGAGCGGCGGCGACGACAGCGGCGGCGACGAACGACGTGAGTTGAAGTCGAGCGGCGAGAGCAGAGTGCAACTGAGCTACTCGGATCCGTTCCGGATGGAGCCGACGGCGTCAAAGCGAATTCCCTTTTCGGTCGCACGCCGCACAGGATCACCATACAGCTGTGGAGCACACAATTGTAGAGCAGCGAACGTCTGATCGAACGCTGGTCTGCTCGCTAGCTAATTCTCGCACAGCACAGACATAGAGGTAGGCTGGGAAACAACCGTTCTACGAGCTAGCTGTTCACTAACCAGTTCATTCACTCAGTTAGCTTTCCAGCAGCAACATTTGCAACAACAACAGCAGCAGCAGCCGCACCACTGCTACGACGACGGCGGTGGTAGCAGCAGCAGCAGCAGCGAATTTACTACACACACGACGAACGGAACCAACCAACGAACTAACGAATGACTGGAAGAGCCACCGAACGACGACGACGAACAGCAGCGGCGGAACGAGCGGCACAAAAAGAGAGGGAGAAAGAGAACCCACCAAAGGGGGAGCACCACCACCATCAACTAGTACATACACAGCACCACTTCTCTCACTAAGAGAGAGAGGGGCGCAGCCGCTGCTTCGGATGGATGAATTGCGAGCGACCCGAGCGGCCCTCTCGCTATAAACACCGATATTTATTTATTTTCTTCCTCGGCTCAGGAGGAAACTCGAGTTTCGCTCCACGACGGTGACCGCGCACGCGAACGGCCACGCGGTCGGTGACAGTCCAGCTCATGTCGAGCGCGTGTCGATATCCCGTTTGCATTTGCCGTTCCTGACGGTGGGATTTGACGTGAACCGGGCCCGCTCGAAATCCTCTTTCGAAGTGATTCTGTCGGGGAGATATTGGAGTGTTGAACCTCGCGCGATAGGCTCGAACGCCGAGGGCTCGACCCGAGAGAGGATATTGTGAGAAGAGGAAATCGTGAGGATGGCGCAAGACCCAGGAAATTCCACTCCAAGTAAGTTCTCTATCGAACGGAGGGGGACAGGCTCGTTTATCGGTTGGTCTGACAGCGAGTCGCGAGCTGAAGTCGACACTGAAATGTTCCGCGCGACCGCGTCCCATTCGAGGTCGCTCTTTCGCACTCCGAAGCGATTGAGGGCAAGAGATAGGTTGTCAATGGAGAACGGAGTTGATCTGGTTGCTCTCGGCCAACGACCAGAGATTCCATGCGCGCGTGACCGAGGCCGCCTAACGGATCGCGGACTGCTCGAAAATATTCCGGAGAGTTCCACGGGCTCTCTGGATCTCGGAGATAACATCTGATCGGGGACAACGACTCAGGAGAGGGCAAAAATGATTTTCCGATTCCAATCATGCGGAACAGGGCAGATACGGTCGGAGCGGAACTCATATGGACAGAATTGAAGTCTCGCCATCGACCTATTCAGAGACTTCCGGGCTCAGCCTGGAGAATGAGCACAGCGAAAATTCCCATTGCATTGAGTGAGCTTCATTTTGCGTCAGAAAGTGCTAAGTTCTCCGAAATCTCCGACGTTGGGAGCAGCAGCTGAGGCGGCGCAGACAGCTGTTTTGGCGCCAAAAGCAGAGCAGCTGATTCTCTCACTCTCTTGACGTAGTGGTGGCCGGTGGTGAGGAGAGCGTAGTAGGACGACGAGGTGAGATCATCAGAATGATGATGTTTATTTCGAACGACGACAAGCCCCGCTGCTGTTGTTGTGAATGAACAAGAGAGAGAAGAGTCTGAAGCAGCAGCCGTCCACTCGCTGAGGAGCGGCAACCTACGACGACCCATTCAGGCTGCAGCAGCAGCGGCAGCGAGTTAGCGAACGGTCAGGCAGCGAACCGCACTCCTCGGGGCGGGCGAGAGCAGCAGCCGCCGGCGCACTGACCGCGGACAACAGCGGGTGCCGACCACCATCACCGTTACACTGCTACCACACGAGTGATCATCATCGTCGTGAGAGGAGACTGAGTTTGCCGCACTGTACGTCGGAGAACATTCGCTCCTCACGGAGAAAACGGAAAATGGCCTCCGTCTGATTACCGCTCCGAACTCGCTCTCGTCGAGCTCTCGGAACAAATTCCAGGCTGCTTCAGCTGACCTCGAGGAGAGAACGTGAGACCGGCTAGCCGCAATTGGAGTCTCGACCATGGTGCCTCGTACGGAGACGGCGGCAGCGACGGTGGGGTTGCCGACGTCGAGCGCGGTGCTTCCAGGGTTCGGCGAATCCTGAGGATCAGATATCCGGTCGTAGGAGATATCATCCCCATATCGTCGGATCATCCGCGGACTGAGCGGGAAATCCGTCGGCAAGTGCCTTCGAGATGGAGTTCGACGTTGCGCTCAGAGAGGCCGGATCGTTCGGACTCTACCAGAAGCTCCTGCTCGGATTGATGGTGGTGCCGTCGGGGGTGTTCTGCGCATTTGTGTACTTCTGTCAGTACTTCATAATTCTCATCCCGTCAACGTACCATTGCAAGCTACCATTCAACGAAACTCAACTTCAGCTGGCCAACGTCACGTTCGAAAACGCCAAACGCATATTCATCCCAGACGACTCGGAGCGGTGCCACATCCAGATATACGAAAACGTCACCTCGGCACTCTTATCTCCCCGGTCCGCCATTCCGCTAGTGAACGAGACCTGCGAGGAGTACACGTTCCAATTCGAGGAACTGTATCCTACGATCGCCACCGACATGGGTTTAGTCTGTGAGAAGAGTCAGTACATCTATCTGATCCAAACACTGTTTTACGTGGCTTCATCGCTGGGCGCTATAATTTTCGGTATCGTGTCGGATCGTTTCGGGAGACGCTCTTCGATCATTTGCAGTTATTGTCTCGCGGCCACCGCGGGCCTTCTGTGCTCGATGGTCGATCTGAACATCATGTCCTTCACTCTATTCCGTTTCCTGGTCGGTTTGTGTCTTCTGCCCCTATCCGAGGATCCGTACGTACTCGCGCTCGAATACATCGGAGCCGAGAAACGTACGCTGGCAGTCGTGTTCTGGGCGGTTTCCTACATTTCCTCGTCGATGGTTGTTCCCTGGGTGGCAAAGGCTTGTCACAATTGGCGTCTCCTGAACGTCGCGATGTCCGTCCCGCTGCTCCTTCCCGTGCTCCTGATGAACTTCATCCCCGAATCGGCCAGCTGGCTCCTGTCGAAGCATCGCGACGCCGAAGCCGTCGACGAACTGGTCACGGTCGGCAAATGGAACGGGAGAGAAATTCCCACGTCGCTCGAGTTGAAGGTCGAGGACGACGAGGAATTCTACGACGGCAAGGCCATCACCCTCCTGAAGCTGGTGGGAACGCCCCGTATTCGGAAACATACGATCTTGGTGGCCGCCTCGTGGTTCCTCACCTACCTCATATATCATTCCGTCATCTTCAGCACATCGTTCATCGGCACGGACATATACCTGTCGTACACGTGCGGAGCCGCGGTTGAGCTCCTCGCGCTGATATTCGTCATGTTCTCCTTGGATACCGTGGGGAGAAAGTGGCCGATGTTGATTTCGACGACCACGACGGCGTTCACGGGACTTTGTGGTGTTCTCCTGATCGACAGTTCACCCGACCGCGATGCCGGCTATGCGAAAACCCGTCTCGCCCTCCTCTTGCTTATGAGGGTGGCCATCACGACCCACTACGACATCATGCTCCAGTACGGGGCCGAGGTGTACCCGACAATATTGCGAGGCCGAGGTCTCGCGGTTCTACGTTTCGCGGGAACTCTGTCTCTCTACATATCCCCCACCCTGGTCTATACCGCACAATACAACCCGGTGTACCCGATCATAATTTGCGGTCTCCTCAGCGTCGTCCTGGTGATCCTGACTTTATTCCTGCCCGAAACCCGGGGACTTCCCTTGCCGCAGACGATTGAAGCCGCGGAACGCCTGGGAAAAGGCGAGCCCCTCCTCGGTTTCGTGTGCAACTGCGTCGATAGAAAGGGGAGGGTTCCCGCGCCGGACGAAGAGCCGGAGGAAGACGATAAATGCTAACGGACGAACGTTTCGTTCGATATGCATATATTAAGGTGGTCAATCGCACGAACCCCATTGTAAGTGCCTCCGGGCCCGGAGCCCGTTAAGATAATACTCTGTGCCTTGTCTAAGCCATCACTCGGGATCTTGTTCGAAGCTCGTATCTGAAATACATAGATTCAAATACAATCATACACACACACATTTAATTGTATGCGTACAGAAGTGAGCATACGTACAAATGTTGTTTCGGGCGCCATTTAGGTCGCCTTCCAGCGCTAGTTCCGGATGAAATCTTAGAGGTCTACAGCCGTCGGGCTTATCGACGAGTCTATTTATACAATTCCGGTTGATAGATATTTAATATATGTATGTATTGAGAAACTCTTCAGTGTAGGAAGAATAAATCAATTTAAATTGATACGGTCTCGAGTTCCTTCCCGATTACGAATGAGTCGACATGGGTATCGGTGCGTGGCGTGGGACGCCTCCAGAATGGCTCGGAGACGTTGCGAGTTGCGACAGTGATGGTGAATGTTGACCATCGAGCTACACTTCGAAAATTAAAATTATCTTGCGGGCCTCGTCTGCGCAGATAAGATGCTCTGAGCGTTGTCGGGAAGATAGGTCTTGGCAGAGGCGAGATTCTCATTCCGAGACCTATCGGTGGAGGGAACGGAAAGGTGCAAGCTCTAAAATTCGCAAAACGCGAAACCTAGTGAATATTCTCGGTCCCACGAGCTTTCGATCGCAGACGACCTTTGGAACGGGAGCGAGCAGCGAACCGCGGGAGGGGACGATTCAGTGTTGACGCGTCGCTGAGAACGGCGACGGAGGATCGATAAAGCTCCGAGATCGGAAAATTATTCAAAATTTGTTCGGATCTTGGCCGACCGAAAAGGTCACAGTTCCAGAGGTCCAGGTGTGAGCCCGCAGCGCGCGAAAGTTTTCCGCAGGTCCGGTTTGCCTTCAATTCTTTCTAGCCACCATGAAAATGAAAGCCTGCTCCGAATGAGCTCCCAACTCGAGTTGAAACGTCCGTCATGCATGAAAGACGATCAGAGAGATCCGAGACTATATTCCTCCCATGAGATTTCAATTTCAAATCACAATCGGATTGTCTATCGATTGGCCCGGAGCCAGCATGAATATCCGAAGCCTCGAGGGTATCAGTCCGACATCTAATGCATTCTGTGTTCGAGACGGAAGTCCTTCGGTCAGATCGGAGCGCCCTCAAGGCTGCCCTCAAAGGAGGACGAATGGCGTGGACCTGGCCAAGAATCGAGTATTCACTCGAAATCACATTTATCCGGAAAACTCAGAATCTCCGAGTTGCGCCGGTTTTTCTTCAGCAGGTCAAATCATTCGATCGTGAATTCGGAGTCGTGGACGCAGTGCTCTGTGTGTATTCGGGTGACCAGAAGATTAAATACTTCACCTTGAAATGTGGCGCGAGAAGCGAAAAAGAAGGCCCTAGACGATCATGCTCGGGATCTCCGCAAAGCACTGCGCAAGAAGTGATGACCTTCCGGATTCTCCAGGATTATCATCGCGACACGCTCCAGGCAGGAGGGGGAGCAGGATCTTCATATGACGCATGAGCAGGAGCCGATGACCGTCGGGAATTTAGTCGTGTGTCAGCTCAATGAGTTAAAAATACATGAACTTATCTGATTTCAATAGCTTCAGCCGCTCGGCTGAATGATTTCCGCGCCTGATGTGGACAGCGCCGTTCCATGTTGGTTTCTGAATGATGGCTCCCTCGCTTCGCCCGCGGAAGAGCTCTCTCTCTCCTTGGCATCAGGATATTTCCATTTTTCAACCACGAGCTTGATACAGGATGTTGCTTGATGGATTTTCTTCGTGGAAGCAATGCGACTATAATAGGAGTCACTTCATTCCGGCAGAGTAAAATTCGTACTACTCACTCTTGACAGACTCTCGACGACATTCTTTGGAAAAATCTTCTCCGACTTCCAGCGTCAAGGGCGAGCTTGTAGAGATTCCCCGAGATACCTACCCTCCGAACATTGCGAAAGGCCCTCAAGCTTGCTCTGATCCCGTATCGAAATCCTCGCCCCGATGAGCCCCTTCCCGGAAATTTGACATTCAATCCACGTTGAGACGCCATTTCCCGGACTCGAGGCGACTCGATGACCGCACACCCGAGAGGAATTCCAGTGGAGATGGTAGAACTCATTTCGCAAGTCGATAACCCTTCCTAACGAAGGATCGAATGACGTTTGCGGGCTGACCGGGGAGGAGGAAGAACCTGAGGGATCAGTGCATCGTTTCCCGGATGGTGATAAGGCGAGGATCAATTCTGGTTACGTTTGCTAATCTCGCCTGCCTTCGCGAGGCGAGGCCGAATAACAACGACGGATACTAAATATCCTCCACGAATCCTCGGCGAACGGCGTCCGACTTCGATTTTCGTCGATCTGTGTTTTTTTACGTAGGCTTATGAAGCCACGCAGGCCCAGAATCCCACTTGGATCGACCATGTAGCTATCCCGAAGGAGATTCCGCCTCGCTCCATGTCGGGAATTCCTTCCGCTCAATTTATCCTCCGGAGATCATCCGTCGTGATTCCGGCTTTCCGGAGAGCGGTTCCGGATTGATGAAACTGGGACCCGCGACTATATCCAAAGGCATTCGAGACAGAGCTTCATGAGCCAAGTCTTGTCGCGCAGAGCTCAAAGCCGCTCTAGTTGGAAAAGGATTTCTATGGTGGAAGAGATCGTCTCGCAGATGAGTGAATGAGGATCAAGCTCCCATGCTCTTGACCGATTGGGACCCAGGGCTCCGGTCAAAGCTCTTGCGGACTTCTTTCGAATTTCGGCATGAATATGTGCACAAACATACGCTCCGAAGATCCGCGTTCAAGCAAATTTTTCCGAGCAACCGATTTTCTGTCGTCGAAGTTGAGCGAATCCAAATTGGCAGCTTTGGGAATGAATTTGGTATAGGATCTTAGATACGAGACGGGTCGGTAAGAGGACCTTGATTCGTCGATGTTTTGAGCTGCATCGAGGGAATTCGATCACCCAAGACGGAGAAATGCTTGTCACCATCTCTTCGGTGTGCTCGGTGCAGCAATGTATTGAAAAGGGCTTCGCACCCGCATTTTATTCCGGGATCCGAACTTCACATGCTGAACAAATAGAACGCACGCGGAAAGCCCACCGATATCCCACGCGAGTTCCGAACAACTTGGACTCTAATACACAACTATGCGGCCCGAAGAAGAGCTCTCCGGGGGCGATGATGAGTCGTGACCGCTCTCGAAGCCATTACTGAGAGGGGAAGAAGAGAATTTCGAGATCCGATTAGAGCACAGGGATTACCGCGAGAGAATCGAGTGTCACATTGTATGTTGAATACTTGATCCGGGCGGTAAACATCGTTCGCCATTCTGATCTCATTAGTAGACCGAATCGCATTGTCTGCCAGCCACACTTCCATGGAGGCTAGGCGACGGGAAGCATATCCGAAGCGAACGGAAATGCGACGAGACTTTTATCGAGGCCGGCGTTGAATGTAATTATTAATGCCCGAGTTCCTTGTTCTCCCAGATGCCCTCTTGCGGGTGTCATCGATTGGAAATTATCCGGTTCTCCGTCTTCCGTTCCGCTCTATCTCCCCTCGATTCCCCACAATCCTCCCCTCCTCGACTCCCCACGGGAGGATGTATACTCGAGCTGCGCCTCCTGAGAACGAATTTGATGCGTCGAACGTCTTGCGAAACGATTGATTCTCCACCAGGGGGCTCGAGAAGACATTGGATGCTCCCTGCACGAAAGACACTTTCGACGTCATCGTGTCCGTCTCATCACAGATCCGATTCCCAGGCTTCGGAACACCTGACGATCAGGAAATGTCCAGGAGAAGACTAGAAAGCACGCGAAGAATCGGCTCCGACGAGATTGATCGCCTTCCTTTCCGCTGACTCGCGGAAACCTTCGATGCAATTTATCTTTCAGCGAGGCTCCAACGAAGAAAAATGACTCCGCATCGCATGTTGATCAACACGTGGTGATTAGGCTTTCACCGTAATGAGCACCCATTAATGTTGTTTCTTCCACTTCATTCGCCGCCGCTGATGATAGGACAGGTCCTCGCCAAACAGGTCCCGGGCCGTTTAAGTTACGGAGGGAGACCGATCATGTCTAAGTTTCTGACTAAGGCTCGACCTTCTTCTCCTCTTCTCGGGATTTCTGGTCTGGAACGATATTCTCCCCCGGAGGTAAAACAGCGAGCGTTAGAAGCTCCTCCATTAGGGATCCATGAACGCCAGGTCGGAGTCCCGTGAGAGCTCCTCGTGTTGTTGCTTTCCGCCTTCATTGGCGGAAGCGGTACGGAGGTAGAGTATTCCATGCTTCAGCTGGATCCGCCGTCGATCATCGTTTTCCGTTTTCAAATGCACACAGAATGCTCGGAATATTGGCTCCTACTTGCCCGCGGGATCGGGCAACGGCTTTCGTGATGCTCCTTAGGCTCTCTCTCCAGCATTCGAAATTCCAGAAGTGATTAAATTGTTCATCTTGTGGAGTACTTTGTTTGGCAGATCTTGATTCGGCAGTAATTACTGACTACCCCTACCCTCCGAATTGCTCCCCCCCTTTATCCTTCCTCCCCGGGGGAACTCGAGCTGTCTCGGGAAAGTGTTCTTCGAATTGTTCGAGAGAGATAAGTCAGCGGGAACGATGCAGCGGTCTGAGTGCGTCTAGGTCTCGGGGCCCGAGGCCAAAGGGAGCGATCCGGTGGAGGGCGTTGCCTGTCGGTTCAGCCGCTAAATGAGTCGATCCCTCGACTTGCTCAATTAACATCTCTGGCCTATTACGACTGGCTGAATAGAACTAACTGCCTAACTCACTGAATTGACTCGACTTAGCTTCTCCATAGCCAGTGAATATACCCCTTTCCATCCACGGAATGACTCCACCGGCAGCAGATACATACTTTGGTTTCACACGAGGTCACGGCTCGCCAGCATAGATACCTCGCGGAGATTATTCAACTCGAAAGGCGGGTTCGCAGGATCGGTGCTTGCTTAGCGAGGAGGAAATTATTTCCGTATTCGTCGTCACGGTCCCGTCCGTGCTCGATCACCTTTCTCATCTCATGCAAGAATCCATGGGAGCAACGGGTCTCGCGAAGAGCCAAATGCGAACTCTATCTCGATTCAGAGGCGGAGTATCCTCCCGGAAGGCTCCCTCGCCCATTCATACCAGCGCCTGTTCACTGCAAATTCATTCCGACGACCACAGGACACCTCATGCGGGTACTATCCGACTTCTCACCATAGATGGAGTTCCTCTGGTCCGAGAACATGATCTTCAGCCTCGAGGGGAGGCCCTAGAATCTGAATCCCGTACTGCACGGAAGCGGTATTGGCGGGGCTCAGTACTCCGCATCCCTGAGACGCCCAGGAGAGCTGTGACGCTGCGGAGGCGTCGGAATTCCGCGAGAGATCTCCGGGAGACCACCAGAATTCCTCCGGTCGTGCCGGAAGAATTCCCTCCTCCCCCAGCTCGACCCCAATGCCAGTAGGAACGCGTGGGGATCTGAGGCTGAATTCCTGTTGGCGAATCGCGGCACGGAGCAGTCGACGGAATGTGGAGTAGCTCAGGCTCACCGGCCATCCGGTGTTTTATTGCGCAAAAATTGTATCTCTTCTTTTTTCCCAGGCCTACCTTGTCCAGCGACTTCCTCCCATCTGCCTGCGACCTCTCAGAACCCATCCACGTCGGCGATGTCCTCCCTCGAGGATCTCTGCGTCGACTTCATTTCTTCGCACTGTGAATGGGTAGACTCTTGGGACGGCGTACCGGACTATCTGTCCAAGAAGGTGTTTTTCAGAATGGTTGACAAGGGATGCGTCGACTTCACCGAGGACGCCTGCATCAGGTCAGACACAGCGTGTTTCAAAATTAGACTGGCTAACATATCCTCGTTGCATTCCTCCCGGGAGTCTCTCGGGTTATATGTTCTCCCAACCTCTTCCTCGACTTGTTTCCGAAAGGAAAGAGACGCTTTTGAGAAGTCGAGACTCAGAAATGTTTCCGAGTCCCCTCTTTAAATCACTTGAGATTCCTTCCATGTGGCCTTTCGTGCGGCTCTGCATGAGCCGCTCGTTCGATTCCAATCCGTGTGTCCCGGTGGCGGGCTGGTGAGGTCCCCGCCCTTCGAATTGTTTCGACGCAAATAAATGACGTCGATAGTTTATTTATCACGAAAAGCTTCGCTTCGACGCTTGCGCGCAGTACGCATATCGAGCCCGAACTCGAATGCCCGCCCCGCTGTGTTCACGTATTCATACTCAGAGCGCTCCAGTACGATGCCGGGGATTTGTTTTGCGGTATCAGCTGCCGCTCCAACGGTCTCTGTATAGAATTGGTGAGCGTACAAAGTTGCTCGGCTCGGAGTGGCGGAAGAGTTGCTTCAGCTCTCTCTTGGATTCCGGTCAGCTGCTCGGGGCATGCCTCGCCACTGCAAAAACTCCCTTCCGGCTGTCTGCGTAGCTTTCTCTCCTATGGCGAGATTTCGGTGCCTCGGCCCGAAATCGACCGACCGTCGCTTCTAATTTCGACGATCATTGGATCGGATGATCGGCTTGACACTGATTATGTATTAATGTCGCCCGGTGTGAGGCAGGGCTCTGATCGAGTCAAAGGCTCAAGCCGCGTCAAGCACACTAGAGTCGAGAGACGAAGGCAACGGAGTTGCTCATCAAGTCCACTTTCGACGTCAATGAGGGCAGCTATTGACAAGTTGGGAATGGACGTTGTTGACAAAGCACGGTGTCGGATTCCGCCGTGCAAGCCTCGAGACAGATTGCGCCAGAAGCTTTTACCTTGTCTGATAACAGCTAATCGAAAGTGTTGTGAACTCCTCTAAGCTCAAGGACTCCCAAAGTTTCTGATTACATTCCCTTACCATTTTGTCACAGAGGACTCCGCAGACCAGCAGGATGCGCCTTGCTTCTCTCTCTTTTTGCCAGGACAGGCATCAAAGATCTGACTTCATGGGTGGTCGGAATCAAGCATTCTGCGATTTGGATTGACGAATGCTCATACAAGGCTCGCGAAGATCGTGAGAGAGTCGCATCGAATTGAATCTCAATGCGGGAGTCGATCCCGAAGTCGAGAAGGCTGCACCGCTGCTCCGGGAGTCCAGAAGCGTTCGTCCGCTCGGTCGGTCTCAAACTCGATACGATTCAATCAATGAGTCAGCAAGAAGAATCGTTCAGAGACAAGGAAAACAATTGTGAAACCGAGGGGGAGGAAGATAAGGGAATGAGATGTCCACCCAACTGTTCACACGGATCAGGATCCGCTGAGAGCATCCACTCAACCTGGAAGATCCTCGATGACCCTCAAGCTGTTCAAGAGTTTCGTTTCCCGCGTGATGTCGATCGAACCTTGGCAGACAGATCTGCCCACGCAGACAGCCAACACATTCTGGATTCGGCGGAGAAGATAGTTGGTGGCGAACGAGGTTCCTCATGCCTTCGTCCCAGACCGAGGTCCCCCTCCTTCTGCAGCTTCCGCTCCCATTGACCCCATGATGATGAGATGAGGGTTACTCGACGGGAGAAGAACAGTTTTTCTCGTGAATCTTCCAACAACTTGAGACTCCTGAGCAGCCTTTAATTTTCTTCGGAAAAACCCTCCTGGTAGCGAGGGATCCTTCGGCGAAGCAAACGTAGAGGTCACGGACCGTACTCACGTACGCTTCCGTCCAAACGGAGGAGCGCGCTCAGCCATCGACTTATTTGCTCAATCGATCGCTAAATTATATGATGACGATGAATAACTCTCGGTGAGCAGGTGACGTGGGAACTCGGAAGACTGTTTGCAGCTTTCTCCCTCTATTCCTCGCTCGGGCCCCATGGTGCCGCCTGCCACTGTGAAAGTTCGGAACCGACGCTTACCCGAGTGTAGACGTCGAATGGCGTCCGAAGCGTCCTACCGAAGAACACGTCTGCGTCCAAGGCTCCCGGTCCAACGAATCTTTCGAGTATGAACCATCTTTTCCGCCTGACCGTTACTTTGCGGCATCCTCGGAGCACATCGCAAGTGCGCTATGTTGAACTCCGCACAGAAGTCGACCAGACATTCCGCCGTGACACCATTCCGCCGATCCCTCCGCAACGCGATGAGCAGCACTGTTCCTTTGTCATCTGTGTCTGAAATCTTTCATGAAAACGCGCCAAACCTTCCGAGATTCCAATACTCTCATCGAGGACAAGGGATCTGCGATTCGGACGCTGTTGAGCCCAACTGGCTAGGCATCCTCTAATGTATTCCGTATCTCCCACCGGGATTCCCAGCTGCGGTTACCGTCGATCGTATGTTCGAGACTCCCCGTTCAATTCCTGAATGTCCCCTAAGGTGCCTGCTCATGGGTCAATGCTTTAGTCTCCCTAAAGGTGCTCGTCTTTCGGAGACAGCCCGTATGTTCAAAACTACCATCTTCTGGAAATATCAATGGCATACGACCTCTGGATCGCATAGTCCTAGTCATCGATGTGGGGTCCCTTCTGGCCCCTCGCGAGTGCTGGGGCTGAATCGACAGTCGGTTCAACCTGCCCACAGTCGGTTCAACCTGCCCACAGTCGGTTTCCTGCTCTCAACCTCGAACCTACAATGACGATCAGGAATGTTTCGAGGGGAGATTGTCGTGAAGATATTGAGGATATCCACAGACGGGCCTCCGAGCCTCGGTTTGTGGAAGAGCTGGGGTTGATTGAATTCTAAAAAACGCGAAAACTTCTCGCTCGGTTCTGCTCAGTCACTGGAAAGAGACCTGGAGACCCGGAGCGGAGCTTGGGTCTTGTCGTATGCTCTACGTGGGATTCGGAGAGGCAGTTTTATGACAGAGGATGATGTCATTCATCACTCATCCGGTGAAGGAGGATTTTTATTCACCCTCTTAAGAACGCTCCCTTTTAGCGTTGGAAGGACGCCTCACAATAAGAAGACAATTCCTCCCTCTCGCGGCTGCTCGTCGTTCCGGGCCGATTCCCCAGATTCAGATTCTCAGGGCAAGTGATGAGCAAGTTAGATAGCGAAGAGCTCAAGAAAAAGGATTTATACACTTGTTCTGATCCGCGCTCTGGTTCAAGCGGTCGATATCGGGCCGCTAGGCTGTTCTCAGACGGCACCGACATTTTCCGCGAGCGCCGAGGCTGACTATTGGTTTGATCCTCGCGACCGAGCCTGCTTCCGATTACGGGGCGCCTACTCCATTCTCGCGCTCTCGAAACAGCCGGGGGAAATCCGCATGTAACCACTTGAATGGATTCCTGCAGGGGATTATAAATTGGATCAGAGAGAAAGGAGGGTGGTGATCGTTAATTAGATTGAACGTACCACTCCCAGCGCGATGCATAGTTGACTCCGATTGGTTAATTTTCCGCTTGAATCAGTGGCTGAATGACAACAGATTTCCCGCCTTCAGGGGATATGTTTGCCTGCCTGCCTGCGCTGCGCCGCAAGTCGGACGCAAGGTTCGCGAAGAGCCTGCGGCGGTGACTCCGAAAGGGCTATTTTCCGCACAGGCGTCGACTCTGTAGTCGCAGACCGAACTTCTGATAGCTGCGTTTTCACTCAAGCATCTATAGGGGCTCTCGCGGCTCGGGCTCGGTCCCCCGACGCTCCGTCGGCATGTTTCCGATGCCTCCTATAACCTAAAAATGAGAGCTCCCGGTGCCTCGGGGCTCCTTATTCTTTTGACTGCGTGAAACGAGACCCATGGTAAAGTTACGATGGTACCATGGTGAAGTTACGTATCTTCTTTTTTCAGATTAAAACCATTCCGCGACACTTATGGCATCCTATTACAAAGTCGAGTGAACTTCTCTCAGCAATCAGCGATGTTCTTCTCGGAAATACTCGATATCTACGAGCTGATCGCGGACTACATAGCTTTTTTGGATCTATCTAAATGTAAACTGGGATCGGGCCATCCGGTTTTCGCCTCCCTCGTCTATTTCCACAAGTGAGTGATTCAGATCGTCGGTCTCGCCGACCCTCTTGTCTTCCTGCTGGAAATCGGTGGTCGTTTTTCGGTCGATATTCGGTAGTCGAGTTCAGTGAGAGCTTCCCGGAATTTCCGGATCATCTTTTTTGGACCCAGCATTCCCTCCGAACGCCCCATCGAACAAATATCCATGAAGAAAAACTCGTAATTCCTTTTTAAGACATGCGTTGCCCTTCGTTGCAGTCTCCGTTGCCTCGTGATGAGCGAATGTGCTCTCAACGATGACTCCCTCAGAAGGCTCACGCTGCCGATCTCGATGAGGGACACCGGCGCTAAAAACCTACTCATGCTGGACATTTCGAACAATCCTCAGATAACATCGAGAAGCATTCCCAAGATCAAAGTGTTCCGCAAACTTAAGAAGCTCAACATTCGCGGGACGCAGATAGCGGCCGACAGTCTGGATATTGAAACGATGCCAACCATAGAAGTGCACAACAATGGATGGATCTCTGAAAGCGGCCTCTGGGACCGATGGAACAGCATTCTGGAAGGTCCGAGGAGAAAGAAAAGACACTTTTGAGTTCGAGACCTGACACCCTGCCCCGGACGACTCGCAGCACTCAAGGAATCACCTTGCGTGGCACAAGCCTCACATGGACTTGCCGCCCTCCTGCTAGCGAAAAAAATATGCATCTCGGGATGGTATCCATTTTTGTTCAGGGTCAAAGCGAAGAAGTGCTTCCCAATCCCATTGAAGGATAACCAAGGAGTAGAAAACGAGAGAAGTTTCCCCCCACTGGATAGGGACTGTTCTCGATTATAAATATTGACATTGTGATAGTTTCGGGGGAAAGGTTCTCATTTCCTCCGGTTGAGTTGTTGACGGCTCGGATTCGGATTGACCTTCGGAGCTCACTCCGCCTAAATGCCGGATGGAATAGCGTGACTAATGCTCGCATTATTGTGCAGACTCGAGCGACGCCTGTGAGTCCGCCAGGTAGCTCGCGATTCTGATGGGGCATTTTGATACAGGAGCTCCACGCGAATCCCAGGCGCGTCCGCACGCAGCGGGAAGATCGCCCGGAAGTGCTTCTCGATGCATAAGTGAGGAAGCGACGATGCTCGGGTACCATCGGTCTGTCCTCTGCTCGATCATTTGGGCTCCGAGAGACGGCAGGTTTCCCGAAGTGTTTGCTTCTCGATGGAGATGGGGCGGGCTCGAGGCCGAGGAAGAATACAGTGTTTCAAAAGAAAAGTTTCCAACAATGGGTTCTCAATTGCATCCGTCCAGCTGCGCGGGCGGCCCGGCAGCCGGCGCGGAATTTCAGGCAACGTAACTGCCTGAGTGAGTTTGGGAAATTTCAAAACATCTCGCAGTCGAGCGCCCACACAACAACAATACAGCAAGCAGCACGCGGTGCCGGACGGAACGAGCTGCGTCTGAGGGATGAAGCAGCAGCCGAATGGGAGGACTTTCCCACGTGTGGGAAGGAAAAGGTCGGATCCGGCTCCTCTTCTTGTAAAGAGAGTTGCGCGAGAGCCAGATTCGTAACGGGGCATGAGTACCGGGTACTTATCGATTGCGTGTGTCGACGCGGCGAGACACACTCTTCTCAGTTAGGCTGGGGAGTTCCTTGCATCGGATTTACGCCCATCTCAACGGACCCCCCATGATCTCCGCTCGTGACTCGTGAATGAAGTTCCATCGAGCTGCTCGTTTCTTGAACTTGCGTACTCCACATCGAGTCGTTCGCGCGAGTCCGCGGCGTCTTCGTTTCGGTTCATAAATCATCTGCCGTTGAAGTTCAAGGGTTCCCTCCATTCCCGGGCGCAGGAACAATAGTCCACAAGCCTCGAGCGGACTCGGAGGTCATCGAAGCTGCGGCATTTTCCGCTGCTGAGCTCGCGTTGCCGATGGAGGCCGATCTATTAATGGGATAATCTCTTCCGCCGCCTCGCGAAATTCCTCCGATACGGGGAAAGACGGCTTTCAAGCTGATGGGGCTACTTCTGACCATACGACATGACTGGGGCGAGTTCAAGAAGTCCAAGAATACGCAGTCAAAAGCATCCTGCAGTGCTCGAAGCCCCTGCTGATTGGCGAAAGTTTTCTAAGATTGACGGAGATAACTTTCGGATGGTGAAAAATAAAGTGCGGTCAGTTGAAGACGTTTTCAATCTTTATCCGAACGAAGGGAGAGGCTACGCCATACTCCGGGCCAATCAACTATGCAATCAAAAGTGCATGACTCCCACGCATAGGCGTGCCCTAAGTGGGGCTGGGGCCCATCTCTCTGCTCTAAAGGAAATTACATGCCGTGATGCTGAAGTATAATTCCAAGAGGGGGCGCGCCATCGAGTTCCCATCCAAGAAACCCGGATTCCTCCCACCTCTCCGAGAGAATACCCTGGGCCCCTCCGCGCGCCTACGCCGGTGCCGTTCGGTGTAAAGTTCTGAAGCGGGAGTATCTAGGTTTGGGATCGTTTTGCCTCTCTGGTACGGTCCTCCGCAAGGTTTCAGAGGTATCGAGAATTGCCCTCGGATGATGTTGAATGTTGCGGCTTAGAGCGCACTTCCCCAGTGCAAATGCATAGAGGAAGAGCGAAGTCGGGAGATATTTCCCCTGGCAGAGGAATGGCACCGCAGGTGAAATCGAAAGTTCGCCAGAAGGCGCTCGGCATTCGCTCAGCTTCGTTTTCCAGCAGTGAGTGTCTGATAAAATCCATGCCTCGCAGATGTACGGCGAGAGAGCATGCAGTGTTCTGCGGCCCTTCCCGAGCGCCTGGTAGGCTCCCGACTCCACTCTTCCGCCCCAGCAGAGGCCTTATATTGTTGGGGGCGCTTGACTCTCTCTCTTTTGGCGTTTTACGGAGTTCCCTTGCCCAACGCCATTCTTCGCCATTCGCCCAGGGCTGGCTGACGCTTCGAAGGCCCGATTTTCCATCAGCAGTGGGGCCGAAACGAATCGTTCGAAACGCTCAAAACAGGCAGAAAAAACGCTCCGACGCAGCCTCAACCCTCAACCCCCACCAATCCTGTCAACATCGAACAGCCTTTGATTTCGACCGAGCCAGCCCGAACACGGCCGCGAGGAGACCTGCCTTCTTGTCTGTCTACCGCCTACAACCTACCTCGCTACCTACCGACGTACCGTGTACCGACCGACGACGGACCGATCCGCTTTGTAGTCAGTCTCTGCCTCCCTGACTTCCAGTGAGTGTTACCCGGAATCCACGCATCAAGAAAACTTCCGACGCGAGCCGAACGTCCGTGTGTGCGCGATACCAGACAAGGTTCGCAGTGTGTGGAAAAGCCTTCCTGCCGATTGACCAAGCGACCGACCGATTCATTGACTCCCTGTGTGTTTATGTGAATGTGAGTGAAAACCCCAAAATCAAAGTGGATTCCTGAGATCCGGTGGAATACTTCTTCTTCCAAACAACGAACGTTAGTTCTCCTCAAACGGTATCAGGTGCGTATGGAGACCGCTTCGACTTCTCACGCGATGAACCACGAACCGGAGACTCGATCCACGTAACGCGGCGGATATGTACGCATGACGTTTTTCGAACAGAGGCCACTAACCTGGCAGAACGCTCGCAGTGCAGCCCTTGGCGATGACTGTCCTTTCGGACCTCTTGGACTGCCCGTCAGTCCCTGTGGCCTGCGTGCCTTTGTCATTGCGTGCGTGCGTGCGTGCCTGCCAGCGAGCTCGACCGACGATCCCGCTAGCTGAATCTTCGCGCGCTTCTGTCGCTTTTCATTGAAGTCGAAATGAAGGGTTCAAGGACCCGGGCTCCAACCTCCCGCGGAACCTCTTCCGTGGCGGGAGCGGGGCAAGGGAAGAGTTCGCACTTCCCGTGATCAGCGGAAACTCTGATTGAGTGATTTTATAATTAGTTTTCGCTTGAGTAATCGTTCGATTTGGGCTCCTTGAGTGGGGTGAAGGCCCGAGAGAGTGGGGAGAGTAGCGGAGAGATGTTCTCAAGAACAATCGGTTTCGTGCGTTATGCCGAAGAGCCGTTTGGCACGGATCCAGGACAGTGAAGTCGCCGAACAAGCTCTCAGATCTCCTGTCATTCAAGGCCATGTTCGGAGGAGTTTGCATGCTAGGATGCATTAGGCTATCGGGAGGAGAGCACGTTGCTTTGCTGCCTTTCTTTCGTCCTCTCTCGCAAATGCGCCGAGCTATCGCCCCTTTTGTGTCGGGAAGTGTTTGCAGCTGCATTTATAGCAGCTGTTGTGGCGCCACTTAGCACCTGCATGCAAGAGACCAGTCTGGAGCCAACTGATCCACCCGGCTCTCGAGTAGAATCGCTTCCCTCAACCCACGGGAAGGAGCTAGAACGAGCGAGCGGAGCGTCGAGTAGGACACCGCGTACTTCGCTTGCCATCAGACGGTGACATCTGCGACGTGACACCTCTTGGGTGCACAGAACTTGGCCCTGCAGCACTGGGATTCCCATTTCGATTAGGGAGCCAATCTACAGGGACAACGCGAGGCTTCTCACTCGACGACGTGTTGTAGAAGTCTATGACGATTTCCGAGATTCCTCCTGGTCGATCGAAACCGTCGTCGAGGGACGATCAAGCTCTCTCGCGAGATCTCTGCGCCTGACCTCGATTTCTCTCCGCAGATGAGCTGAAGCTGAAAAAATGCCGAAGGACGGCAGCGCGAAGGATGCCGCGGCGGGTGACAGAAATGCCGCCGCAGGTGGAGGAGGCGGCGGAGGAGGGGGTGGAGGGGGCGGTGGTGGTGGTGCCAAAGGAACGCCATCGAAGGACGCCTCGAAAGACGCTGGGAAAAACGCGAAAGATGGCAAAGAGGACTCAAAACAGGTGTCCTTACTCAAAATGCCAGAACAAAGCAACGACTACAGAGTGGTCGTGTTGGGAGCGGGAGGCGTCGGAAAAAGTTCCTTGGTTCTCCGGTTCGTTCAGGGAACGTTCCGCGAAAGCTATATTCCCACCGTAGAAGACACCTACAGACAGGTGGGTTCGAAAAAGCTCCGATTCCTCAACTTTCAGAAATTGAATTTGTACACTCTAAGCTTGCTCGGAAATCGGGCTTACCCCATGGGGCCCGGCGCTCGACGGCATGCCCTTTTGCTCCGCTCCTCGAAAATCACATGGAAGCGGGACGGTATCAAATCCTGACTGGGTCCGTTCGCTCCCAATAGGTGATTTCATGTAACAAGAACATCTGCACACTGCAAATCACAGATACAACAGGATCTCACCAGTTCCCCGCCATGCAGAGACTTAACATTTCGAAGGGACATGCGTTCATCCTTGTGTTCTCAGTTACGTCAAAGCAGTCGCTCGAAGAACTTAAGCCCATATACAACGTCATCCGGGAAGTGAAGGTGAGCGCAAAAACCCTCTCGTCGGATTTAGAGCTCCATATCGGTCGGTTCCGAGTCTGAGCCTGGAGAGCCTAGAGAAGGGGCAGATGATAGAGAAAAGAAGAACTCCGCCACTTCGTCTAATAGAGTTTTTCCCCTTGTTATACGCACGTTGTGGAATAAAGACTAAATTGCAGAGCGGCGAAACAGAGCAAATCCCGATTATGCTCGTTGGAAATAAATGTGACGAGGATTCATCTCGTGAGGTGGATGCTAGTATTTGTGAGAATCTCTCCAAACAGTGGCAGTGCGGTTACATGGAAACGTCTGCAAAAAACAACACGAACGTCAAGGAACTATTCCAGGTTAGTGAGCATCCCCTCTGGGAGCGCTTTATGAACTGTAGACGGAACGCAAGGAAAGGGGAATGGGGAAAGCGGGGTTGGATTCGAAAACCCTCGCCTCCATGTGTCCCCCCGGGTTTTCTCTCGCAAAGCATGCTTGTGAGTGGAATTCCATCCTCGCTTGAGCGATTGTGCACTTGGTCGAGGTGAGGGCTCGCGAGAAAGCGCTCCGGCTCGAGCCACCGACCGAGGATAGGAGAGCCTCGGACCGACGCGACGGCTTCGGTCCGACTGACGGAGGCCACGATGAATGTGTGAGTTATTGACTTGGGCCGAGTTGACGACAACTCGCTTCGTTCGCAGGCCCTCCTGGAAATGGAAAAACGACGCAACATGTCGCTCCAGCTCGACGGGAAGAAAACACGTTCTCGCTTCGGCCGTGACAAGCTAAAGGGAAAGTGCGATGTGATGTAAAGAGACTGTACCAAAGTATTAGGAACTCAACTAACTATTACAACAGCAACAACAACTTGTTCGCCAAACAGAACAATAACAGCAATGGCGAAATTATCAGCAACAACACAAACTACCTACCTACAACGACGACGATGACTATGTCGACAACGACGACGGGTGGAAAAGCAAGCAAGCAAGCAAGTAACCAAACAAGTCAACAAATAGTCGGATACAAGGGGGACCCTTTATTGGTGTGGGGCCCCCCTCCGTAGACAACAACTAGAATGTCTGCCAAATCCTCGATGCTATCTCCGAATCTATCTATCTATCTACGAATCAACCGGACCTCATACTCGACCGCTTCGGGTTTCGCAACCTGGCGGAGACTCACGAGTCTTCGGATCCCGTTCATCGCGAATTTCGTCCGCTCATCTCTCCCCACAGAGGACAGAAACACCTGAACAGATGCAGAACGCTTATTGGTTCGAGCGATTATACGCGTGGACTCCTTCGATGCGCCTCGGCCTCATCAACCCAAGCGCAGATCCTTATGGCCCTCCAAAGCCTTGTGGCCCCCGAATCCTCGTAGCCACCCTCTTGTCCCGGTTCAACTCAGTCCTCGTCTTAGTCCTCCCCTTCACCCGTTCCGGATTGTCTCTCCCCTCGTCAAACGTTACACCCAACCTCCGCCTATACCGAGATCCGAAAACCTGAAAATCATTCGCCTCCATTCCTAATTCTTCCCTATTTGGACTGCCTTCCTTTTCTCACCGAGCGTGAAATCGCGTATCGAGAAGTCAAACTCATCTAGACTCCTCGCTCCGTCCTCTGTTTCGATTCCCCGCCACGGCGCGGATTCCCCCGAGTTTTTAATTATGTCTTCGCCAATTTCTGATATTACCAAACGCCAAGCCATGTGCTTCGAGACTACTCGACACGACTGTGTCTGACTGTGTGATTCGGGTATTGGGAACGCTATGTCTCAATATCCGGCCTTCGAGGTGTCGCTTCAATGTGATCTCGGCTTATCTCCGACGCTTTTTTGTACAACATGTTACCCAGTTATTGGAGAGGGAGACAGATTTTGCTTATGGAATGAGCAAGATCAGCTCGTGCTGCTTGAACGACGGGAAGATAACTAGTGAAAATTTTATTCATCAAGCGTCAGTACCAAGGAAATCCTCATTGTCGATAATAATGCGGGAACGCTGCAAACGAGAAGCAAAGACCGATACCTAGACTAATCATCCATCTGTAAGTGCTACCGAACCGATGATGAGTGTCGACGTCAACGTCTATCAGTTCTGATTACGATATGGTATATGTACCTATATCCAACGGTGGAACTCGAGCATCCGAATCGACTCGCTCGCCATCATGACGATATCTGTTTCATTCACTATAATTATTATCATTATCATCATCATCACATCTATCGTTTTAAATGATGATCGCTAAAAATCTAGGGCTACCGAGCGCAATGAGTGAGATTCCGAATGTATGTGCGTTACTAGTCTTGAACCCGCGGAGAGAAAAATCAGGAGAGTTGATGCTGGTGCTATTTATTGACGTCACCAGTTCTTGTCCTGCTAGGAATAAGTCCTATTCGGAATCCGAATGCCTGGTTCTCAAGTGCAAATGTATTATCTAGACAGATTGACCACGGGTTCAGACGTCCTTCGTACACAGATGTTTCCCCCGCATACAAGGACGCATTGAGTGAGTCGAGCGTGAGGAACTCTCCATAATGAACGGGGAATCATCTACCTAAACGAAAACATATCGCATTGATAGGCTTAGTCCACGTTATTGAAGAAGCTCATATCGAACATATTTCGAACGGAGTCTGTTTCCCTTATCGCCGTCGTTTCCCTCTCGGTCGACACAGTAGAGCGCAGATCAATTATTATTACGATCATCATTATCATCATTGGAAGGAGGCCCAAACACAGAGCAGAGATACCCAGACATATAGGATTAGACGGGAACATACTTTTGCCGACGCGCCGTCAGATGCAAATATCCGATTTCAAATGTTCTGTTCACTAACCTGCAGGTAAAGTGATTTTTGCCACATCCGCGAACGCTTACTCCATGTGCGATCTCCCGCTATTTTTTCTCCTCCATCTGCGTAAAAACCTCTACTCAAGAACAACGATGATGATTCGTGGCACCATGATGTAGGAATCCTCAATGCGAGGGATATACTATTTGCAAGACGGACGGCTGACTCGGCTACTCGGCAACGCGACTGTGGAAACGGGCCAAAACGGCGGACTTACCACAAACTCAATAAGCAATACTCACTATTGTGATCTTTTGAAGCTTTTATCCACGATCCTAGATTGAACAGGACGATTTTCAACTTCCGTATGTATTTCTTCCTCATCCCTATCAACTATTATACCTTTGTTTGGTCATCTGCTTACATTTATCCCGTTTAACTCGCCTGACCGAGGCCCTCTGTTATCAAGAGAGAACTCTATTTGTCAGTGGCTCCTCGGGTCGCTGGTCTTTTTCTCTTCCCACTCGCTCACTTGTTCAACCCCAGTCCTTGTCCTGCTCAAAGTATCACGCAACGGGGCTTCCCGGAACCCGATCAAATGCCGTTTGCCCTGCCTTAGGAGGGAACGCTCCCGACTGTATTCTGAGTTGCCTCTGGAGTCGTCTTGTTGTCCCGAACATCTTCTTCCCGGTCGGATCCTGCAGTAACCAACTCCCCAAGGATACAACGATTGCCCGATTATCAGAAACTACTCATCGAACCTCATTTTGCCAGAGACCGGTGAGCCGACCATCCCATGCGTAGTAGACTATATTAGCGAGAAGACACTTGATACATACGGATTATGACGGAAATGATACCGTGGAACCTGAGAACATTAGACAAAATGATCTAGAACGAATCGAAGAGGAAGAACAGAAAACCTGTGCTGCGTCAAAATGCCGACGTATGCGCTGCTCGGAGCGGACTAGCACAAAACTTGATTGATTTGATAATTTATTGATTGATTGACTGAATGTTAGTCTGGCTAGCAGTGCTGTTCACAACGAGTTCTTGAGAGGCACTACCGATGTAAACGGTTCATGCTACACCGGATGAAATGTTTCAATTGAAAAAGGATACCAATTATAAATATTGTGGGAGAAGAACTCTATCTTGTTAGAGCGACATATACTGAGTGAGTTAACAGAGTTGATCTCATGAGCTTGTACGACTACTACAACAACTACCATTAACTGCTATGGACGTCCTGGTCGTAACCATATTCCATTGGGACGAACGATACCACAATTATTGTCCCATCTCACGGAGTGTGTGTTCTCAAATCGATCACATGGAACATTAACCTATTCTCGTTCTATCCCGCGACAGAGATCCGGATCGGGACCTTTCCATTCGAGAAGCTCTGGTATCGATGATTCTCAGTTGACAATCACGAACCCCTAATTCGTGAGGTTGCTTTGTGAACACACCGCTGGTATCCAGGAGAACGATAGTCTGCTTGCTAGAAAATCATTTTTCCATCGACAGGACGATACGCGCGGGAGTATCGATGCTTGGTTGATCGCCGGACTTCCTGATGGAACAATTTGTCTCCACGAGACGTGAATCGAATGCAACGTACGTTTTGCACACGAAAAAATGCAGGTCGGAAATCTCCCTACGGTTGGGATGATCCGAATAAAATTAGTGAATCAGTTTCTGCTCCCTTCAAGCATAGAGGAGGCAACTCACCAGGGGCTAGGACGCCGTGGAGCTCCCTCTCGAAACTGTTGAAGTATTAGGTGAAGCTTGTCCGGGAGCGGAAGTGCAATCTGAGCGAAAATCAACAATACTCTTTGATGTGGAAAATTGCGGAGAAACTAGAAAATGCTGAGAAGGGAAACGGGATGGACAAATAGCAGTCATTTGGACTCGGTTTGTGCCCGATAAATTGAAGGAGCGCTCCTCTCTACGGTACCCTTCATGTTGACCACAGGAGTCTTAAGTACGGAGGTGGGGATGATGGCGGGACAACTGTAGGAGCATCATCCTATTTTAGGTAATCTACAGGTTTGTTGAACGAATATCAACACCGAAAATGTTGGAGCAGCATCGATGGCTATGAGAAGTGAGAGCTGGGAGAACGGAAGTAATAGTTAAGCGAGAAAGAGACAGCATGAAGGAAAAGAGAGGAAATTGATTAAAAAAATGAATTGAGCAATGTTCAAAAACTCATGAAATAAAAACAAGAGAGTGACGGAAACGATACCCAGCAAAAGTGATCAAAGTTTGCCGCGCATTCTTCAGGAAATATACTTGAGCCCCCTCCCCCATTTTCCCTTTGGAGTTGCTTTCCTGTCACGGGACACGAAAACAAGCCGCAGGATTGGAAACATCAATGGCCCGGCAATAACCGAATCCCAGAAGAGAGTTCAGCAATGCTCCTTCCGACGGTTCGCTACACTCAACACGGGGGGCATCGATGCGGTACCCGTCGTATGTCGCACTCACGTACGCCATGTCATGGATGGTGAGCGGTTCCGTAGTCAGACGTTGGTCGACGCTCGATCGCGAGGGACTATCGCACTGGTATGTCGAACACAAGAAGAGATCAGCAAGGTCGAGATTGTTGGTTATCACAGCTTGTCGGGTCCGGGTAATCAGCTACTGTCAATGTGTCCGTCGCCTGCTTCAATTAGACCTCCTTAGAGAATAGACCTCCTTATTAGACCGCGCAAGTATTGGCCGGAGCTGAACGTCGCCATCCACAACTCACCTGATTCGTGATCTCATAATTACCCTCGGATTGCCTGACGGACCCGGCGAAGGAATGCAGTCTCCGAGCAGCGCCGACCGAATATTACGCTCGCGGAAACTTGTACCCTCTGAATCTTCAATGCGAGCCGGTGGCAGTAGCCGGGGGTCTGTTTCAGCAGATCCGCAGCCTCTCGCTGAAACTTATAGATGACGACAGCGAAATTCCCGAGGACGGCCGAGTGTCCCTCCACGGAAAGAGAACATCTATCTGGCG